GAGGGTTACCATGTTGGAGGCCGGCAGAATGGATGGGGTGGTAGGGGGAGCGTGTTGCGCCAGCATCGATGGGAGGTGGGTCAGTGATCGCTTGGCGTCGCGCCGTCAACAAGCGAACTCGAGGGATTACTAGTACTGGGTGGGCAAGGCAGCAAGGGGCGGGCGCCATTATAGCCGGCAGGCGCGCAACGTCTACCAGCAGCCCCTGAAATCAAGGCCCGCTGTCACCGCCGCCATCCCGACAGCAGCTCGGCTGCTGCATCAGCGACTCACACCACCGCTGCCGGGACCAAGCCGGGGGGCGGTTGCTCGGGGGGCGCGGGTGCGGGCGCGGGCGCGTCCCGAAAAATGTCGCTTGAGGCAGCCCTCAGGCGTGAGGTGCTCGCCTGGTGTGAGCTGACGGCGTTGAGGCGGCCGTGGTGGTACAGCTTCAGTGCAACCATCTCGCCGCTGCGCAGGTCGCGCGCCTGCGCGCGGGCCGGCCGGTCGCGGTAGCGGTGGAGGAGGGGGAAGGGGGTCGAATCGAGGTTGGCGGCGGCGCCCGGCTCGAAGGGTTTGGGGCAGGCGTTGGTTGCTGCACCTAATGCGGGCTCAGCTTGATGATGTGGTTCAAGCTGCTGGCTGGCTGCAGGGGCGGCGCCTTCAGGTGGTCCCCGACGCGCAGCAGGCGCCTGCCAGGAACGTGGAGGCTCGAGGGTGGCCGAGCAGCACGAAGCCGACAAACCAGCTAGCCAACAAGCGTGCAAGCGCTGTACCCCGCTCACCTTGTACACGCTCGAGGCGTGCCCCTCATAAACAGTCTCCACCCGCCGGAAGTCCGACAGCCGCCACTGCGCGCGCTGCATGGCCGGCGGCAGGCCGGGCGACACGCAAAGCACCCTATCCCCGCTGGCGCCTGCGGCCGATGCGCCGCTGCTGCTGTTAGTGGGGGTGGGCTGGCTTGACTGGATCTTGAATTGCGGTTCTGTGGAGATTGAGGCAGCCAGCGCTGGGGACTTCATTATGCTCGCCAAGTCCACTTGCTGCTGCTGCTGCTGCTGCTGCTGCTGCTGCTGCTGCTGCTGCTGCTGCTGCTGCTGCTGCTGCTGCTGCTGCTGCTGCTGCTGCTGCTGCTGCTGCTGCTGCTGGGGCTGCTGCTGCTGCTGCTGCTGCTGCTGCTGCTGGGGCTGCTGCTGCTGCTGCTGCGCCTGCTGCTGCTGCGCCTGCTGCGCCTGCTGCGCCTGCTGCTGCTGCTGCGCCTGCTGCTGCAGCAACTCCTGCTGCTGCGCCTGCTGCTGCTGCACTTGACCCTTGGTCAAAGACGCGCCCGCCGCGTCAGTAGCCAGGACGGGTGCTGCATGGATGCCCGCCAAATTTGCCGTGTGTGCGCGCTTGAAGATGCTGCGCCTGGTCGCCGGCCGCTCGTCCTCATCGCTGCTGTCGCTGCTGTCCCCGGCGCCGCCGCGCGCGGGGGCGGCGGGCTCGGCGAAGCGCAGCCGCCGCTCCCCGGCCGGCGCGTCCTGCAGTGCGGGGCGCAGGGGCCGCTGGAGCGACGCCGACGGCGGCCGGGCGGCCAGGCAGCCTGGAGCCGAGAGGGAGCCGGGGCTCGGCGCGCGTGCCAGCCTCTGCGCCCACCCGTTGCCACCAGTACTGGTGCTGCCGGCCCTCGGAAGAGATACAAGGGAAGGCAGCCTGGTTGCCCTACCAGAGGCACCGGTGGGGGACCCCGGGCTGTTGCCGCCACTGCTGCTGAGGCTGCCGGCGCCACCGCCGCCGCCGCCGCCACTGCCGGCTGCAAACTGCCTGGGGCTGCCGCTCTTCGCGCGCACTAAGGGACGTGCGGCGGCGGGGCTCGGGCTGCTGAGCGGCGCGCGTTGCAGCCCGCTGCCGTTGCTGGCGCCGCCGCCGCCACCCATCATGTTCAGGAGTTTATCGACCAAAGCAGAGGTCCCCATGCGACCCAGAGCGCTGCCGCCACCGCCGCCCGCCGGGCTCGACGGTCCGCCGTTGGCGCCGCCCCCGCCGCCCCACCTCGGGGCCTGTACAGCCGAGGCGCCGCGGCGCAGCGCCTGCGCCGCCGCCGCTTTCACCGGCCCCGGGTCATCCTGGCCGCTGCTGGCTGCCGAGGCACCGGCTGTACCCATCCCGCGGGTGCGCTGCATGAGGCTGTTGGCCTCCTCAGGAGGTTTGGCAGCAAACAGAGCGCGGCCCGCACGGCCAGTTGTGTGCGGCTTATTGCAGCCCGCCTGCCCCTGCGACACGCGCGCCGCGACAACGTGTGACATTGCTGAAGCGGTGGCATTGGTTTTGACGTGGCCCCGCTGGGGAGTTGCACCAGTTTGAGCATGCGGCAGCCCCGCGGCGCCGCTCCAGCTTGAGCAGCAGCGGTGCTCGCGCCCCCAGACCATGGTCAATGCACCCCCGCTCGCGCAATCTTACGCCTGAGGCGAAGCTGCACCTGATTCCTTGTTAATGAATGCTTTGGTCTCTGCCACTCTCAGGCGATCAGCCATAGGTTCGCGCTGACCGCCAAGCATTCCCGTGGGGCGTTGACATCCTAGTGTACGATATGAAGCCCACGCCTGCTGGTATTGATTTTCATTCCACTAAGAAGTACATGAGTCTGCATCAGCAGCTGTGTCGAAGATCACATCAGATCGCTGGCATGCTTGAGGACGTGGTCACCGGTGCAGTGACGGGGGGTGTTAATATTAGTACCTTCCTACTCCTTCAGGCGCTTCTGTTGGCGGCGGTGGTGGCGTTGGCTTCGCTGCTAGTGGTGTCGCTTCGAGCCGCGCCGGCCCTCGTGCCGCATGCGGCTGTGCTGCTTGCGCTGGCGATCGGCCTGTGGGGCCTGATAGTTTGGTACGTTGTCGCCGTCATCGGATTCGCGGACCCCGAGCAGCAGCGCAGGGAGCTGGCCGGAGCTGGCGGAGGAAGTAGTGGCGCGCCAGCAGCCGTGGCCGGGGCCAAAGACGGAAAGCAGGGGCGGGAGGAGGGCGAGCGCGGCAAGAAGCAGCAGTGATGCTGCCCGCGGCGCTCCGGAGCGCCGGCGTCCGCTGGCTCGCGGGCGCCGCGGCGCCGCTGGCGGTCGCGCCGTGTGCCGCGGCCGCGTGCGGGGCTGCGTGGCTGCGCTGGCTGGGGGCCAGGGGCGGCCCTTGCAAGGCGGCGGCGGCGGCAGTGGACTGCTTGGGTTCAGCAGCAGCCGCTTCAGGAACAAATATTGCAATACTTCAGCAGCAGGAGCTGCCATCATTGCAGCGGCAGCAGCAGCAGCAGCAGCAGCAGCAGCAGCAACAGCAGGAGAGCCAGAGAGATCTTGAAATGATCAGCCGCCGGGGCGCTGGGACATGCGCCGAGCCGAGGCTTACACAAGTAGCTCCCTTGCCACCTCGTACGGCCGCGCGCGGCCTGCAGCAGCCGTGCTTTCGCGCTATCTGTGCACGGGCCGGCTCAAGCAGCGGCAGCCACCTCGTGGCCGCTGGCGGGAGCGCCGCCCCGCTGTGCGGCGCAGGGGCCCCTCGGGCGCTCGCCACCTATGCGGCAGCTGCCCCCGCCTCTGCCACTGCTTCCCGCCGCCCAGTGGTGGCTGTCGCGATGTCTGGGGGCGTCGACTCCGCGGTCGCCGCGCTGCTGCTGCGCCGCGCGGGCTTTGACGTGTTCGGCATCTACATGCACAACTGGGACGCGGGCGACGAGGCCGGCGGCAGCGGCGCCGGCGCGTGCACGTCCGAGCGTGACCTCCAAGACGCAAATGCAGTTGCCAAGAAGCTGCGCCTGCCTCTGCTGGAGGCGGACTTCGTCGGACGCTACTGGCAGGACGTCTTCTCCGGGTTTCTGGCCGGCGTTGCGGCGGGGGTGACGCCGAACCCGGACATCTCATGCAACGCGGCGATCAAATTCGGGGCTCTCTGGGAGTTTGCCACGCGCCAAGGGGCGGACGTCCTGGCCACTGGTCACTACGCCCGTCTGGGGCGGCCGGCGGCGAGCGGTGCCTGCGCCGGCAGCAGCGGCGGCGACGGCAGCGGCGGATGCGGTGCAGCCGTGGAGCCGCTTGGGGGGATGGAGGCTTGGGCGGCGGGGGCCGGCGCGGCGGCCCCGCCACTGCTGCTGCGTGGCGCGGACGCGTCGAAGGACCAGAGCTACTTTCTGGCGGGCGTCTCGGGCGCGCAGCTGGCGCATGCCATGTTCCCTTTGGGTGAGCGTGCGGGCGCCTGGGCCGCGGTGCCGGGACAGCGCGACGATCGGCTGTACAAATGGAGCCATCAGCCTGAGGCGTCTGGCCTGGCCGATTTCATATTGTGACATCAGCATGACTCACTGACTGGTCCAGCAACAAGCCACATATTCACGCTCCAGACACGCGCACGTGCCTGCGTGCACACGCGCACTGCAGGCGGCATGCTCAAGTTGGACGTGCGGGCCCTCGCGGCCGCGGAGGGCCTGCAGCCCGCCGCCAAGCGCAGCAGCGCCGGCATCTGCTTCATCGGCCGCCGCAGCTTCGGCAGTTTCATAGAGCAGTACATACCGCAGCTTCCCGGCAGGTTTCTGTGCGCCGATACTGGGGCCGACCTCGGGCCGTGCGCCAACGTGCTGGCGCTGACGCACGGGCAGCGCGCGCCGCTGGGCGGCGGGCCCCAGCGGCGGTTCATTGCCGGCAAGGACGTCGCCGCGCGCGTGGTGTGGGTCGCGGCGGGTAACGACCACCCGGCGCTAATGAGCGCCGCCGCGCTGCTCGCGCCCGCGCGCTGGGTCGCGGGCGCGCCGCCGGGCGCGCTGCTCGGCGGCGGGGGCGGGGGCGGCGGCGGGCGGCTCGCGTGTGAGTGCCAGCCTCGGTATCGACAGGAGGCCGTCTCTTGCGTCGTAACCGACGCTGAGTCAGCAGGCGCGGCCGGCGGCGCCGACGCCGAGCTGCACGCCAGCGCGGAGCCCCTCCGGCCCTCCCGGTTCATGGGGGGCGCCGCGGGCATGGCGGCCGCCGCGCGCGTCCTCGTGCCACAGAGCGGTGGCGCTGCGGCGGCGCCTGGCGGCGGCGGTGCTGGCTTGCTGCGCCTGGCGTCTGCGCGGCCCTTGCGGGGGCTGGCGCCGGGGCAGGCGGTGGTGCTGTATGACGGCCCGGTGGTGCTCGGCAGCGCCCCGCTGATCGCACCTGGAGAGACACAGTTTGAATTGGAGGCGGCCGCGGGCGCCGCTCACCCCTTCGGGCCCTGACCGGCGGCCGCGCCACCCGCTGGGGCGAGCACACGTGTTGCCCCCTTGTGCGTTGTGGTGTGCTGCCGCTGGTGTTTGCTTACGTCGGCCGCTGGGAATGCGGCTGAATCATGTGTGTGCATTATGAGCTGCGGAGCGGAAACTGCTGCGTCGCTGCATGCCTTGTGCCCGTCCTGTCTAAGACTGCGCAGATTTCTTCGATGTTTCATGAGCCCGCATTACTTGTAAATACACAACAAACACAGTTATCAAAGACATGATAGCGCACTAGCCCCTGTACTGAAAGCCGAGCACACAGCGAGAGTTGCACAGCAGCGACGAGCAGCAGCCGGCACCGCCACAAAACCCCGACTCCTCCCACACACGGCTGCGATGGCTGCCCCCAGCCGCCCTGCGATCCACCGCGAGTTGGCCTTCGCGACGGCAGGGCGCTCGGGCCAGCCCTCTAGAGTCCCCAGACAGAGCGCCGGCGCCCCCCAGAAGCCGGGGGCGGTGCCTCCAACCCCGCCGCCGCAGCAGCCGCGGCTGGGCTGGGTGCGCGCGCCCCCGGCCGGTCGTGAAAAAAGTGGCTGCAGACGCGATGCGCGGCTGACGCATTCTGCGCAAGCGTCGAGAGCAGCCGGGCGAGGCGGCGCGCGGGCGCCCAGATCCATCTCGAGAGGAAAGGGCGCCGCCGCGGGGTGAGATGAGGAGGTGACCTCCCAATTGTCAATTGCGATCAAGTTCAACTGGCATTGATTGCGGTGTCAAGTGCGGCGTTTGAAGTTCAGTCCTGACAGTCCACAGATCAGCGCGCGCGTCCCCCCTGGCGACGTAAAAAGCCGAGGGCGCGGCCCGCCCCGCGGTGACATGGGAGGGGCAGGCCGCGGCGAGGCGGCGAGGCGGACGCGGGCGAGCACTGCAGGCATCGATCTCCTCCTGGTGACTGCCGGCCTTCCGATCAAAGGGCGAGCAGCAGCGCAGCCACAGCCGCG